CGACGTGTGGCGGATTTGGTGTTGACAATTTTTATCTCTGTATTGTTTAAATACTCACTGTTGATTGTTAATATATTTCTTATATGAATTGCATTATAATTCCGTTAAATACAAATTCCTGAATTCCGCCCTCTCTGTATTTTGGTTGGATTCTTGTAATTCGGTCATCTCGAAATACTAATACTACGATTACAAATAATTACAACAATGAGATAGAAAATATCCTACTCATATTTGGTTAAAAGTGCATCTTCTGACCGGGAGAAAGTCTTCTCACATAAAAAAGGGTATATTCACGACTTTTGTGTAATTACTTATATATATTCATATGAACTGTGAACAAAATTAGACCGAATAGTTTCAAAATAATTGGGCACCGAGTGAAAAGCAGACACATATGTAAAAATTATATTTGTAAAAGTCTCAGAGAAATTAAAATAAGTAATTCCAACGTTTAGTTGGAATGTGGTTAAGATACTTGGATAATACCTTCATCATAGTCAGGCATCAAGATTACTCCAGTGCCTAAATCAACAAGTGGACCTACTGTTAAGTGTAGACACATTGCTATTACCTCACCTTTTTTAAAAGTTATGGAAAGACTTATTTTACTTAATCTTGAACCTTCTTTAAAGCCTTTCAATGACCCCAACCAGTTTGCTTATAAACATAGTAGGTGTACGTTAGATGCCGCTGTTGTCCTACATCATAGTATAGTCTCTAGTTTAGATAGAGGAGCTAAATACGTCCACTGTGCCTTCCTTAATTACACATCCGCATTTGACTCTGTACCTAGGTCTCTCTTGCTAAGCAAGCTTGCTGCAACACAGGCTGAGAGCTGGACAAATAAGTGGCTGCATTCCTATTTTTCTGATAGGAAGCAGTACACCGTCTACAATGGAAAGTCCTCCACTACCTCACTTACTTTAGCTGGTGTTCCTCATGGTGCTGTTCTTTCTCCTTTTCTGTTTTCTTTTTCTTACATGACTTGCCTCATTCTGATGTAGCCACTTTTGTTAAGTATGCTGATGACCTCTCTGTTTCTATGCCTGTCAACTCTCAGTCAGATTGTTCCAATTTAAATAACTTTCTATCGAAAATTAGTCAGTGGTCCTCTTCAAACGGTCTTACGCTAAATCCATCTCAATGTCAGGTAGTCAATTTCAGTTTCAGACGTAAACGTGACCTACAACAACTAGTTAGGTCACATGGCCCCACTATCATCGACGGCACAGAGGTTGAAAATGCATCCAATGTCAAGCACCTTGGGCTGAGTTTTTCCACCGATCTTTCCTGGTCCTCCCACATCTTGCTAGTTACTAGAAAGATGTTTCGCTTAACGTTCTACATTAGGAAATTTAGGCAGTCTGGCATAAAGCAGTCTTTGCTTTCTCAGTTTGTCAATTCTTGTATTCTACCCATCCCCCTTTACTGCTCCCGATTAATCTTTCCTGGACTACTTAAGAAAGATTTTGCTGTGCTGAGAAGGGCACTAAAAGCCGTTAGTAGGGCAAGTGGGATAACGTTAAACCAACTGGTTAACACTATTGTGGATAGACATATAATGAATGTCATGTAAGAAACTAGCGAATACTATATTGTCAGACCCCGAGAATCCTCTCTATATGCAGCTCTCTCCTTGCATTTCTTCTGGTAGAACTAGAAGCAGCTATAAGTGGCTATATGTTAGAACTACCAAGTACAAAAGCTCCACAATACCATATCTGGCACAGCTGTTATGTGATAAGGAATCCGTTAGGTATGACACGATCAACTTACTGTGGCACTCAAACAAATAGTCACATTGGTTTTTGTTTTCCTTTCCTCGTTACTATTACACTGTTGTTCTTATCTTCTATTATACACCAATTTTATATTTCATATCCTGTGGTGCATTGTTTAAAATGTAAACGCAACGCTATTTTTCTTTATCTTTTTTTGGGTGTTGCTTTTTGAGTTTAAAATCTTATAAAATGCATGAGGTATTTAGATGCAATATATTGTAATGCACGCTGAAAATTCCATAACTGCACCACAAATACTGTTTGGAATAAAGCCGTTATTATTATTATAGTGTGTTGATTGCACCTTTTCATTTAATAAACAATATCTCAGAGACCATCAAGTTTTCCAAAGAGGTTGAATCCGACGAAGATAATTTGACATTCCTGGACTGTTTATTAACATCACAACCAGATGCTAAACTTAAAATAAACATTTTTAGAAAGCTGACACATTCGGACAGATACATTGACTACTTTTCAGCACAGCCCTTCACCACAAAAGTAACTGTGGCCGAGAATCAGATTAACAGAGCCAAACGTCTAGTTACTCAGGAGGAAAAGATCAGCAGGAAACTGAAATTGGTTCAAAACACTCTTCAATCAAATAACTATCCGGAAGCCATCACAAAAAGATATTTAAAATGTGAAGATAAGGATGAATCGAAATCTGTTGCTAAGAATTGGGTTAGCACAGGGTGATTCCTTACCGCATAAAAACATCAGCTGATATAAAGCGAATCCTCAACAATCATGACATAAAAGTGTATTTTCGTGCAACTAACACCTTACGCTCATCACTGGTGAAGGTCAAGGATAAAACGGGGGAAGACAACCAACAGAACTGTGTGTACCAGATCACTCGTGGGATCTGTGAAGCCGTATATGTAGGGGGAACTACAAAACAGGTAATTGTAAGAGTGGAAGAGCATAAACGATGTCTAAAGGTGGTCCCTAAGACCTCTACAGATTTGAAGAAGCTCAAAAATAGATCGGTGATTGCACTACACTCAATAGAAGCGTAACACAAGATCGACTTTGGTGGGACTAAGGTTCTACAGAAGTGTTTTGGTTCGTATAAAGAAAGAGTGAATAACTGCAGAAGCCCTGCATAAATGGCTGAACCCTAAAAGTCTGAACAGGCTTGAAGGTGTGATGTTAGCTGATGTGTGGCAAGTCCTGATTAATAAATAAAACTGGATATTGATATAATCGCTAATCCATCATACTTGGTCTAAATCCCCGTTTGCGTGTATCTTCCTATGTCTACTTATCTTTCTTATGTAACCTAGACGGGATGGTGACAGTAGACATTCTCAGTCCATCATATAGAAGCAGAATTAAACAGCTTTAGTGTTGGTGCTAGGAATCAGAGCCAATTCCGAAGAGTTTTCCACTCTGAATGTTATTTCTAGAAAACATATTCTAAGCTTTTCTTTTTAATCTAGCCCTTTTACAAGTATTATTACCACCGACGATATTCCTGATTCTGATGGACTGGATCATGCATGCGGGACACCATACGTGGGGAGTAAGAAGACAGAACTACGTTGGTATGGCAAGAAGACTAAACAATGTTGACTTTGCTGATGATCTAAGTTTAGTGTCACACAAACTGAAACATCTGCAGGAGAAAACTAACGAGCCAGTAAGAGAGGCTGGTAGCAGTGAAGCAAGACTTCAAGTGAATCAGAGAAGACGGTGGTGATGAAGATACCTGACCAAGAACAACAACAACAACAGCAACGACCAGCACCAATTACAATCAACAGGGGAAATGTGAAAGGAGGATATGTTTGAATTCGTGGAATCAGTAAGTCAGCTGAATGTGACTGGGCCAACTATAGCTTCACTGGTCGTAAATTTCCTATTCACTAATGTCCACCAAACGGAAACTGTATTCTACCTATGTGAGTTTATTGACTCAAATAATCTGAATGTTAGTATGTACACTAAATATATCAAAGAATAGATCCTGGAGTGAACACTGAATACTCGGTGTGGACTCAATGGTCAAATATACCATCAAAAAGTTGAAGTTGCAATGGGTTCGCAACTAGGTCCATTGTCACTGATTACTTTATGGTGTACCCTGAGTCAAATATTCGTCTACCGACAATCAAACGGCCCGAAGTTAACAAGCGCTTCATGGATGATATCTTCATTCTCACCGATGAAAATACTGACCTAATCAAAACCCTCGAAATCTACAACAACGGCCGCCAATCAGTTGAATTCAATATTGAAACAGAAGCAGGAGGTGAATTATCCTCCCAAGATGTCCAGCTTGTAATACGAACAGATGGAAGCACTAACTGGTGCGGTTGTCTAAAGCATGACACTGAACTATCAGCAGCTTAATTCTCAAGCATAAAGCTACCTCTGGACGCACAACACCAGCAAATACTTCATTCGAAATCTCATATGCAAACAGATAAACCATGGATTATCCTTTATTGCTGATATGGTGGTCGAAATCTGGATCGAACATTCACCATTATATCAGAGTCAAATATGAACTACAACCAAGAAGTTCGAACAAACTTCACCTAAACCTTCTTCATGTAACCGAAGACTTAGTAATTCATAAGAAGAGTCCAGAACTTTGCGTGAAGAAAACTTTTATCCAGCCTCTATTGCTACCATGGCCTTAGCACGCTTATCTCCTTTCCTCCCTTATTTGTTTTCTTGAATAAATGTGGGTTAGACATTTGATGCATCATCAAAAACATTTCAAACAGGTTAGTGCAGACTTCTGTCAACAGTTGCCTTCCGTCCATTCTGAAGAACAGAAAGCTACAAGTCGTTAGCAGTAAGGAGCTGATGGCAAGAGATCAACCAAGAGACTACAGCCCAACAAGTATGCCGGGAAAAAGATGCGGATTAACAGGACACACACAGTGAGAACATCTTTGAGTGATATCACGACGCAGCACGCACACCCTCCATTGGAACCCAAATAGGAAACCACGAGTTAGGTGTGTATCCGACAGTGACATATAGGATGTCATGTGAAGGAGCAATCAAAGTATACACGCAACCGTGGGGCCAGTTAAACTGAACTGCGACCAACGGGAAAAAATGGAGATGTGCTGTTGAAGACCTATATTTCACCAGGAACCTAAAGGAATAGTAATAATAATCATGATATTTAGACACGTGATAAAATGTAATTTTATGTAATGTAATCTTTATTTCAGATAAAAATATAAGTAGTGAATAGCAATAAACACAATCGTGTACACAAAATAAATCTTCGTTTATCAATCGATAGATATCACAAGTGCATTATGTACACATTTATACAAGTCAAGGACGTTGTAAATCAGATATTAAACAATAACAGTAATCTGTAGAAAAGATGAGATTTTATTCATCAGAAGTCGAGCTAACTGATACAGTTGAAAGCGGGAACGCAGATAGTCCTAATACCGAAGCCGTCACTGGTCCGGGAGCTTTAGAATTCAGAGATTTCTCTTGCACCCAAGAAGGAAGAGACACAAGATCACTTAATGGTTGTTTCACACGGAAATTAGTCAAATTATGTGAACCATTTGGAAACTTTGTCAATGAAAAACTGTTGCTAGTTGACGGAATCAAGCACATGAGACTTTCAATTTGTGAAGTGGAATTCTTTTCTGAGATTTCAGAAGTATTGGTTCTAGAAACAGGTAAGTGGTTCAGTTTCTTCAGCTTCCGTTTCAATTTCCCAACTCGCCGTCTATCAAGAGTCATTGTGCAACTGTTCACCTGATCAGAGTCGGAATGCTCCTCCCCACTACTACATTGACAGACAATATTCTTAATAGGGGAGTTAGCAACAGTATTACTGGGTAAATAAATGCACACCTTCTTTATCGAATTTTCTTTCTTCCGGTTTATAGAGACAACGATACCAACAGACGATAACTGGGATCCACTTTCTGATATCTCATCAGAATTGTTCTCAAGAGAATATATCGACTCTTCATTATGATCATCTTGGCAACTTGAATCCTTCAAAGGTGAATCGCGATTGTTTGTGAAAGCACCTGGGCTTTTTGAAATCCCATCAGAATTAGACGAAGGAACAGGGTTACCTGTATTGACGTCATCATCTTCCGTAGGTTCAGCTGTGTTAGGCTGTGAAGACATATTCTCAACATTATTGATTGAAACATGCAAAGGAGATGGTATGTCCACATCAGCGTTTGATGGAACAGACTGCGCTTCAGATTCATTACATTCACTACGTGATGAGACCAACATAAGACTGTCTGATAGTTTATTCGGTACGGATGAAAAGTTTTCCAAATGAGTACATTCCATTGTTCCACTCACACTAAGCGGAGCACTCTGAACCAATGATTCACCTCGGGAATCAATTGACATTTGCAAAGCACTTCCACATGAATCACTTGCATTAGTAACGACCGTTAACGTATCACTGTTTTTTGACACCACAGAACTGCACACCCGAGTCGGTTGAGGAGAACACTGGCTACGGTTAACTTCTTTCTCACAATCATATGAATTTCTCATAGATCCCTTTTCTCTGCAGGCAACATCAACTTCAGTAGGACTATTATTACAAGCATTTCCTGATGATAAGGGATTTGAAAAACCCTCAAGTGATGGCACATCATCCACAACAATCTCAGTAACTAACTTTAAAGAATTCAATTCTGAATTATCAGTAGTACTTTTACTCACCGAAACAGGAGATTTGGACGAATTCATCACCTCTGTGGTTCGAAGAGAATTAGAATCTAAAGATGAGGAGGTGTTAGGTGACATACTTGTAACATTCTTTGAACATGTTTGGTTAACAGCAATAAGTAACCTTGTCTGAGGAATAATATTAGGGGAACACGGGTTACTGGAGTGTGATACAGAAGAGTCCACTCCAGCACATCGATCACTGAGCAGTCTCACATTAGCATCATGGACATCATCACGTGAGACACGCCTTTCACTTTGACTACTGCTGCTGCTACTGACTTTCGGAGTGTGCGACAACACATCTAATGATGCTGACGATGAAGAAGAAGCATTTGAAATTTGACGACATTTCGATGAAAGGTATTTTGACAAATTCAAAATATACTCTTTCGCATCATGTCTGAATATTAGACGTGATAATGGCCGCAGAAATCTTTCTGAACAACAGTTGTACCAGCATCGGTCACGTGGTAGACAGCTACAGGCAATTTCTAGTGTCCCCTTCAACAGACTGTCAGATAACCACCGGACAACAAACAGTGGTGGTGACTCTGAATTTACCAATGGATACTGAGACAGATGAGCAGAGTCTCGTGATGATAAACCCCTCAATGTAAAAAGACGTATATCAGCTAGGGGGACTCGATGACAATATATCCAACAGTGTCTTAATACTTGCAAGGCAATATTCTGGTGTTTACGATTTGTAAGTAACAAATATAACACTCGTATTACATCGCCAAGTAGTAAATGAGATTTCATTTCATGTCTAAAAGAGAAAATCAAAAACACTCAACAAATGAACTGTGCATGGGTGTGTGTGTGTGAGTGTGCATATATATGATGAATAAAGATAGAAATATCCGCCCACTCAAATAACACTAAACACCGAATTCCAGTGGTACTTACCCTGAAACTCTCCTCCAGATAACATGACCACTTGTCACAAGTCATCTATGATCACAAACTTATTGACATCAAGTAGATTAAAGTGCACTGCTGCATACTTCATCTCACACTTTCAAGCACCACGAATATCATCAAGTGTGAGAGGAAGTCAAGAGATACGCCCACAGATTTCGTCAACAGCTAGTTCTTCTAACCCAATGGGCAACACATTTCGCGACTTCACTGCACATCCTTGAAATAGGGGTCAGTGATATCCAGTCGTCTAGCATTATCTAGGATTTCATACCCACTCACTTACTCAGTTCCTTGAAAAGCAACACTGTCTACTCATAAACAACAAGTCCACACGAGCTTTCATACAACTGACTGCATCAGTTCCACTAGAGTCTATGCATCATTGTTAACCAGCCATATTTTCTAGGAACCCTATACTGTCATGTGTAAGTACAGACTAGATCGACAGTGTGCCAGTCAGAATAGCAATTGTAAACATATTGATGAGTCAGATAATCAACCGATCAGATTTCAACAAAACAGTCAACGCCTAAACATCAGTCAGAATTCACCACTACTTCTTCTGCTACCAATACAAGTAGCCTAGAGGGTAGAGGGTATGAAAACAGAAAAACAACCAATCACGTGCAACGTCCCCAGGAGAGATGACTAATGAACTCGTGGAGAAGTCGAAAAGCTCACTTCAAAACGAAGTATGGGCTGAAGATGTGGGGCAATGAAAGGCTTTGCAAATTAACCATCCAGACCAGTAAACACAACTACATCATAATAACCATTGGTCTCCGATACAGTAATCAAACTACCGCTTTTACTCGCAAGTTTGGGAATAATCCTTTACTAATAATTAGTGCATGAGTGTTCTCCAAAATATCAGTTCACAACAGGGAAAATCTACTAGAAAATTTATCGAACCTTCATTATGACAAACCGAATTCGTGTGTAGATTCAGCATTTTAGCGACGGAGAAAACTATCGATCCTACCATAAGTGGAATTATTAGTAGACATACAAATGAAATTCATGGAAACTCTTATTATCATCACCACAGAAATTTCTTCAACTTCATCACCACCACCAGCACACTTGGTCCCGCCACGGCACCATCTGACTGATGCAGTCACAAATAGCATTATGAAATTCAATTATCAATCCACATCTGATACATTCCAACGACTTTACGAAGACTTCGCAGCACAATGCTCTGAAGATATGACTGTCACTGCATAAGCTGGGTGACATATAACATGATAAATATTGTAACCTTATTCTCCCTAAAAATCCATGTGAAAAGCATTTTGATGGCACAGTCAAGTCACACAGCCAACAGCTTGAAGATCATTCCTCATCGTCCAATACACGATATCAATGTCAGCGATAATGCTGACACGCAAAGTCATGAGGGTTCAGTCAATACGGAGTGAGAAAGATTTCGACTCAAGAAGTTAACCGAGGATGACCTTAAACTCCTCATCTCTCATATGCAGCCTTCCATCTCCAAACTCCAAAGATATTCCAACATCACTGCTTTAATCGGCTGCAACAAGTCCCGAAATTAATCCTGAACGACACAGCAGATGAGTATTAGTGGTCTAGTTTGAATCAGAGATTTTCAGAATGACTGACATCTGTGCATCCATGAGTTCAAGCAGGACCGAAAGTACTCCATTATAAACACGCTGACTAGTCAATTATTGTAACAAACACTTTAGAGTCACATGAAAGTAAGAAGGAAACAACTACAAAATAAGTAATGACTCACTTCTCAGATTGCGATGCATACGTACAAACACAATACGGCATTCTTAAAAGTTTAGCTTCTTCATCTCCAACCAGATCAAGTGATGAGATCAATTTAACCTTGATTAAGTCTCCTTTCAACATTGGTGAGCATTCCTATTACACCGAGAACAAACGAGGAAAAACAGGGAGAATTACTCAATAATACTTGAGTGATTTTCATGTAGACGTTTAACTCTGCACTTAAAATGTTCTATGAAAGTGTAAAACTGATTAAAGAAGCCCACTAGGACTTTCAAAATACCGATTACTCAACACAGAATATTTTCCTCGCTAACTTAATCATCAGGTTCTACAGTTACAATATTCAGAATAATGAAAGAATGATTGTTAATGACAAGACTAATGTAGGAAGTCTAGGTACTTCATCTTCCAATTGAGGAATGATAATAGTTCATGTAAAAAATATGACTTGTAGTTTACCAGCATTAAAAGTTCTTCGATAAATGGATTTTCTTAACTTAATACTAATTATTTCAGGCGTCCTAAGATCGTCTGGTAGTTCATCTACTGCATATTGCCTGAGGGCGATATTCACCTCATTATCTTCTATGTATGTGCATGAAGAGTCCGTTTGCTTTAATGTCATACTTGTCTAGTGTCTTCTTATCACGATGATCTCTGCTTTGATGTAGGGATTTCTGATAAACCTTAGGACAGTGAAGGTTGTCGATGAGTACCTGAAGTATAACAATTAGCTCCATGGAACAAAGACTACCTTGGACTTCATTAACAGTTGTATCGAATCAAATCATCATCCTAAAGTTTACTATAAATCTCTCCATCGAAGTAGAGTTCATCGCATTAGGAAGACGCTGAAACGACCTGGCATTAAACCAAACAGACTATTTATCTACATACATAAAAGGGAATGAAATGAATCCCACTGGCAGCCAATATGCACTAGATGAACTACCACAAAAGGCACAGAAGAAGCAGACGAAGTTTTTCAAAGAACTTGAAAGCAAGTCACAGGCTGGTAAATATCCCATAGATCATGAAACTTACCTCCACAACTATAATAGTTTTAAATTAAGTAAAGTGCATGTCGAGGTAATTTCTCTTCACCTAAGATTTTACAACAGATTCGCGCTATGTCGTGAATTGACAGAAGGTGGAATTCATGGGTTGGCCATTAGATTGGGTCCCAGTAGCGTAATGGTCTACGAGTCCGCTAGCGTTGTAACCAGAAGGTCTTCGGTTCGAACCCTTTCGGGTAGGGGGGGTGCGTATTGCTGAAGGGTCCGAAACTGGGACGAGACAGCTGGTTATCCAGTACTCCCAGCTGTTTTGTCAATTGTTCTCCAACCGATTTCAGCTCATGATGAAATCCTTTAACCGATCAGTGAAATCCCTACAAACTTATACTTGAAAACCGATTTAGTCAGACAAGGGATATAATAATAATAATAATCTACTTTATTCCAAAAACAGTACTTATAATACAGAATGGAATTCTCCGCATTTGTCACAATATTGCATCTGATTTACTTAAAATATAAAGCAAATTAAAGCAAAACTAACCAGAGGAATTCGTCCACATTTACGGTATAAAGTTGAAAAATACTCGAAGTACAAAATGAGAATATCAAATATAATAATAATAATAATAACAGTGGGTTTATTTCAAACAGTATTGTCGATTCAGTTTGGAAATTTTAGCATGTTATTATAGAGTATTGAATCTAAAGTTCTCGTGATAAAGTATGTTGAGGGGAAATACAAAATGAACAGTTACAACACAGCTTAAATGATGTTCACACTTATGAAAAATAAATGAATAAAAAGCAAAAACTTGAGAGGATTATGAATATAAGAAGAACAATAACAATAAAGCTTGGTGGAATAAAGATGGAGAAAATGGTTTATTTACAAGTGAAAAGAAGGTTAGTTAGTTCATCCCTAACACTATCTTCATCACATAAAGTACGTGCTGCCAAATATGGTATAGTGGAATTTTTATACTTAGACGTGTGCACATAAAGTCTTTTGAAAAGACTTCTTGTTTTACCTGAGAAGACACAAAGTTGGAGCTGCGGGTAAAGTGGATGCTCACAGTCTGGCAAAATTCCTTTAGCAAATTTGTTGCATGAAGTGCCTCAAGTGTCTATCAATGACCATGTCAACGATATGGCAAAATGGGATACCACTCGCCCTACAGACACTCAGTCTTCAGAGTTCTACGAAGGATGACATAGTCTTTTTTTAAGCAATCCAGGAAAGAATAAGGGTGAACAGTAAAGAAAAATAGGTAGGATGCACGAGTTGACAAACTGTAAGAGGAGGAGGGGTTGAGTTGTGCCTGAGTTCTTTAACTTCTTAATGTAAAAGGTCAGACGAAATTTTTGTTTAGAAATCGCTGAGAAATAGGAAGACTAGGATAGGTTAGAAGAAAGAATTAATCCAATATACTTAAGACTGGATTTCTACATCAATATCATCAATTTTGCAACGGTCATAGGAATTAACGGCTTCATTTGACTTTCTTTTACATCGGAAACTGAGATTAACAGTCTGACATATGGAAGGATTTCGTTTAAGACCATTAGACAAAGGCCATTTGCTGACTCCCGAAAGAAAGCTGTTCAGTCTAGCTGGGAGTTAACAGGCATTGAAAAAGTTAGGTCATCCACATTCTTAACGAATTTCATTTCATCAGATTGATGCAAGTCATGCAAAAAGAAAGAAAACAGAAAAGAAGAAAGAACAGCACCTTGAGGGACGCCAGCCTCGGTAAGCTATAAAGTGGACGACTTTCCCTGACATACAGTGTACTACTTTCCCCCTGAGAAATAAGAATGCAGCCATTTGACAACCCAACAGTCAGTTTGAATCACGGTTAGCTTGTTTAACAAAATATCCCTAGGTACTAAATCGAAAGCAGATGTGTAATCTAGGAATGTGCAGCGAACAAATTTAGCCCTTTTGTCTAAACTGGAGACATTGTTATGATGGAAGACTGCAGTTGCATCTAAAGTGCTTCTACTATGTTTGTAGGCGAATTGTTTGGGATCGTTAAAGGCTCTAAGTAAAGCTTGGAGATTAAGTAAGCGTAACTTTTCCATAGTTTTAGAAAATGAGAGGTAATAGCAATAGGTCTAAATTTAATGCATGTTCCAGCAGATGACTTAGGTATGGGTTCAATTTTAATATCTTTCCGAACAGCTGGCACGACATATCCAAAAAAAGCTTCATTAAATACGTCCATGAGAGGATAACACAGAATATCTGCACACTTTTTAAGAATAACACTGGGCGAACCATCTTAACCGACACTGCAAGAAGGTCTCAGAGACTGGAGACATTTTAGGACGTCATTTGTATTGAAACCAGGGAATCAGGTTCCATTAACAATCATGATACTAGAAAGCTTGGCATTTTTAGGAGAGTGTGTGAAGGACTTGTTCAGCGAACACACATCAAATGAATAAGGAATACTATTCATCTACCTACCACCAGTAATTTCTTTGAAAAGTTGACATATATCAAAGGCATTTATTTCCATCCTCGAGCTAGAACGCTTCAAATCCAGGCTAGCGGATTGTTGTAATCATTGCAAAACATCAGCAAGTTACTATTATTACTATACTAAAAAGATGAATTATATATTGGAAGACACACCGAAGTTCCGAAAACCTGAGGAGAAGAATGATTTCAATAACAAAATGGAGAACGAATTAACCAGATGTTTGAAGAAACTAAGGGAAGAATTGATACTTGCCGAAAGTCTATATGAAGAACTCAAATCGATGGGCACATACACGCCAAGATTATATGACTTACCCAAAGTACATAAACCGGGTTTCCGTTAACACCAATAATTGATGTGTGAAATTCATCCTACCATGATTTACAATTTGCTTTTGTTTATGATCTTACTGTCACTACTAACACTAAATAAAAGCTGTCATTAACAATCCTGCAATATTATCTTTATAACTGTTTTTAATATTACTTGATAAAATTAGATGCAATAATGCACCGAATGCTCGAAATTCCACACTGTAACATTAGTAATGTTTCGGAATAAAGCAAATAATAATAATTATTATTGTTAAGACCAACATTTAATATGCGCAATTAGCCCTCCCATGCTTTAGCAAGGTGGTTAGTCACTATTCTCAAACCCTTGCACCAGCAAATGGCGACAAAGATGTATTTGAATTCGTAGACAAATTCAAACATATTAATATTAATATCAAGGGTAAAACTATGATATCTCTGAACAGAACATCCTTATTCACAAATCTACCTCTAGTAGAAACGCTCAACTACATATGTGAACAAGTGTATACCGAGTCGATAAAAATTACGTTGAAACCAGTCAACCAGTCAGTCAGTCGATAAATATTGGTGTCACAACAGAAATCCTAAGACAATATTTGTTAAGGTGTACCATGAATGTAAATTTTAAATTTGATGGCACATTCTACAGACAAGTCGATGGCATGTCAATGGACGCCCCCTCGGTTCCATGTCAGCAGATTTCTCAACAAGCAAACTACAAAATGATCCTTTGAACAACCCTTTTATCCAAAAATCCACATTTTATTCTCGGTATATGGATGATATCTTCATTCTTTGTGAAAATCATTTGGAAAGGGATGCAATAATAAATAACTCAGTTCGATGAAGTACATTCAGCCATTAAATTCACATGTGAAGAGGAATGCCAAATAGAATCGCCTTCCTAGACGTCCTTCTTACAAGAAAACTACATAGTGATATAAGCCAAAATTTGCATGAGAAAAGTAAATGGGCAATATAATATACACATTTCCATAGCTTTGTTCCTCTCCAGTTCAACAGAAATTTATTAAGGACCATCAGTTAATGTTATAATTATACCTATTGGAACATACATATATATTGCACTATGATCTTTTATAACAATCTATTTGCAAATAACGTTTACGATTCTGACTTAAATGATTCCTTGTCACCCTTAAAAAACACTCATGTTGCCAATAACAATCATTCTCTCATTATCTTGGATATATAACCGTAGAACCTGATCATGAAGTTAGCGGAAAGTGTAAAATCCCTCTTAGTTAACAGACTGAATACAAAGTCGTTGAGGTAGTCTGCATTTACATTTTGTTGTTGAACGGGACTTAAGAATGTGGTATGTCTGCTGATGAGATTTACCAGTTGTATATAGAGAGACGTTCACCGACTTACGAATATTGAACAGTGGACAGAGAGAGAAATTTGACGTCAAAGAGAGTAAATGATTCAGTGTCGCGACAAAACATGCGAGACACGAAAAGAAGACAAAAAGCACAATATGAAGTGAGGCAGAAGTATCACAACAAAGAAGATCTGAGAAAATCACCGTTTGCAGATAAGGTGTACACAATTTCGCTAAATAAACACACCAAATTCCTAATAAACATTCCCTTACCAAGTCTCTTGTCTTCGACACTCAATATACATTGCATCATGAAACAGAGTCATTTAAGCGCATGACCTCTTAAACACAAAATATATATCGTTCACAGTAATATTACAAATGGAACTATACCCGCTTTAGACCTATTCTTGGAATTCTGGCTCTCTCATGTACCACCACACTAGTGGTGAGACTTTTCACATGTCCAAATAGAGAATTTAACGAAGTCACTTTGAGCGTATTCTCCATCAGTTGATTCGATAAACAAAGCAAGCGCTATCATCAATACCTCCTTCCTCTCGGCTAAACAGGCATTTATAGCCATCACTTTGTGATTCTGTATGATCACATAGCCGTACTGTAGTGCAGCCAACCTCTAGATTTCTTACTTGGATAGGGTTCAGAAACAGGTGGGTTACTAAAAGAGCACACAGTAATGGTAACAAAAGGAATTTAAAACATCTATAATATTTCCATATGAGATAGAGTACTTCAAAAGACTCGAGCATAATTCTCAACAGATTAGTGCAATAACATGCGATCATTGTCAGCTAGGAAACGCATATACATGATTCAAAATAGTAGATCAGAAGAAATCAGATTGTCCACCAACAGAAACAAACTCAGTCCTCATTTACGCTTAGCATACTGCATATCAAATCATAAGAGAATTAATAAATATTTACTCACAGATGCAGTCGTAGGCAGTGACCTGGATTCTGTTGAAGACGACAGTCTTCTTTGCTTTTCACAACTAGTCTGGAAACGTCGAGAACGCTTACCACGCTTATTTCTTCTCACTGAAGACGAAATTTCACGAAGTGGTTCAGCTGAAACAATTCAATCACAATTTACAAAGAATTAAAACGTTCACAATGATAAATAACTCAGCAGACAACCCGATTTTTCACATGAAATTAACGATAAACTAGATTAGGTGAACACACTCGAAAGAGTATTAAAGCTCATTCTGATAAATCATTACAAAATGTGATACTGTAAAACCAGAAGAGACACCAACAGTTACAGTGATGACACAGCATCTCAGAGTAAAATGTCATCATCACTATTGAACAGTTTAAGGATGTTTCTACGTTACTACAGTGTAATGAAAAGACCTCCTGGAAATTCTTAATTCGCGAATCCTCCTGTTCATGACGCTACTCAAATTTTCTTATAATCTTTTATTTATGGGTACAAAATCATCCAATTTGAAGGTGGACACCAGCAATGATCCAATAAAATCTTTATAGATTAAGGTGGATACACCATATTTGAACTCTCACAGAACATTGTTGTCAGATCACAACAATAATCTCAAAGTTACGTACACAAAAGAGTTTAGCAAGAGGAAAAGTTCGTCGAAGTAGGAGACATGTCACGACATCAAATCCCAGATTAAGAAACATGAAGAATGAGAGTGACAAAATGCTTGGGTCAATAAGGTTCTTCGATGTGAATTCTGATTACAGAGAGACACGTTACATTAGAAACGTTTATTCAAAATGACCTGAATACATACAGGCCTAGGGTAACTCATGTGGTTGAGATCTTCCACTCACTACGATCTACCTATGAATGCAACCTGAAGTAGTGATACATTGCAGCGAAAGTAAAGGCGGTTTATTCAAGGTACACACCACACTATGGATGGGTCTCGAGATATAGGTTCAAACCATATACACACCTCAGCTTCAGTAGTAAACAGTTCGCCAACTAGTGAGGACGGGCAATCTGCACGACACATTGTGACTACTCTTTGTGATATTCAAGACTGTCAGCGTTTCAGCAGACTCTGCTGACTTATTTTTTTTCAATATTTTTATTATTTTGGTGACTGACACTGTTGTGAAGTGTTTTAACTCAAAAACTCTGCACTTCTACAATCTCACCGTGCCGAAATGGTCCATCTCTCCGACCGTACCGACCTTAGTCTCATTATAAAATATCGTCAACTTTAAGGAGAATGGTTAAACAAGTAAAAGTAATAACATCTTCACACAATTAAAGTTGGATGAGAATGAGTCAAGCAAGTTGGCTAGCTCGAGCTGTCCAACAGCTTTCTGCTCTCCACGACGACCTTTATTCAGCACACCACAAGCTTCAAGGGAATTTCCGAAAACACCCTCTGAGAAGCTCCATTCGAATTTCCGTGACACTATCGTGGTGTGTGTGAGAGAGACAGAGAGAGTTCTATCACTGTTATCTTCAGCCTAGTGTAAGCAATTTACAGACGTATAATAAGATCAAATGGGTTATAAACAATTTGTAAAAATATTCAGTAACCTACATGATTCGCATATCCCCTCGTGAACCTGAAAAGAAACAAGGTTCACAAGGATAACCAAATGTCTTATAGAAACTGAAATAAAACACAACCTGATACCCCCACATTAATTGGTGGAGAACTCCATACATATGTAAGTGCAAACTACCTATAAATCTGAAATCATAAACAGTTTCACCTTCAACGTTTAAGTAGCTTGAAAATTCCCATTTAGTCATATGAAAAAGAGAAAACGTTCAGCGAAGAGACTCTTTTCGGCGAATTCATTCACATAGCTGTACAATCGCATTTATATATAAATATTTGTGTGTGTGTGTGTACATGAGGTTTGTCAAAATTAGATAATTCATCAGGTAAGAAAAGAATGATCTAAAACAGAAACAAGGTTAATTGGACAGCAACTAAAGTAAGACTGAGTTAGTAAGTTAGATGACGTAATATAATTGACTAAAATGTTTTAACTTAGGTCACGGCAGCAACAGAGGTAATTACAGATAGAGGCTAAGTAGAAGTGGGGTAGATAATAATGCCATTTAAATTAGAACTGAAATTGAGCAATTAAGTTGGATGACGTAACATAAATGACTAGAAATTGAGCGTTGGTCAGATCAATTAAAGTGGTAGTGAGGTGTAGAAATTAAATCGGGTGGGGGTAGAGAACAAGAAAGTTGAAAATGCAAAATATTACAATTAAGAAGACAGAATAATACCAATGAAGAGACAGAAGAAAAAAAGGAAAAAAAGATTAGGTAGAATTTACTTTTCAGGTAATAAGATAGATTAAGTCCATTGTAAGTGTAGTGATTGAACGAACTTCTTCTGTATGCAGAGTTCAGGGCTTAGCAAGTGAATCGCCATTGCTTCTGCAGTTTGAAGAAGTCTGATTCGTACACCTTTAGGAAGACTACTTCTTACTCTGTAGACTACTTTGAAGTTTGTTTGGGGTGCAGCTTGGTGTCCGGATTCTATCAGATGTTCTAAGATGGAGCTGCGGGGACATCGTTTTTCTCCTTTGTAAAACCATGCTGGTAAGTGTTCGGTGATATGCTTGGAAAGCGAGCGCTGGGCACGGCCGACATACCTGGCTCCACACGAGCAGGTGAATTGATAAATACACATTGATGAGGCCAACAGTGGTAGCTTATCCTTCACGTTCACATGAATCATAGGTTTTGTGGAGAAAGTTAGTCGTAGTTCAGCTGCGAAGAAGGTCTTCTTGAGTGAGCGCGACAGTCGATTTTTTAGTGTTTCCGCAGATATATCTCCATTGAATTGAAGGTTCATGTAGAGCGGTTTCTCCGAGACGCTATGCATGGACGGCTTTTGTGGCCTAGGATTCATAAATTTTGCAATAAATCGTTCTGGGTAACAATTCTCGACGAGGATTCTCTTGAGATTGTCCAGTTCATCTTCTACTGTGTCCGGGGTACAAATTCTGCGAATTTTGTAGCTAAGTGAACGGATGAGGTTCCGTTTGGTGTATAGGGGTACCTAACTGTGGAAGTTAATAAGCTGTCCGTTCCATGTTGACTTTCTGTAGATAGATATTTTCAGTGTTCCATCCTGTTCTCGTCTTGTTAGTTGTATGTCAAGAAAGGATATTTTAGAGTTGGACTCTTTTTCCAACGTGAACTGAATTGCGGGGTGGCAGTTGTTAAACGACTTCAGGATGTCGTCTAGATTCTCTTCATTGTTGACGATAATGAAAGTGTCGTCGACGTATCTCTTTTAGATTCCGAAGGTATCGATCATTTTCTTCATGCATGTGTTTTCGAGTTTTGCCATGCAAGTAATGGGCCTAGTGGTGAGCCCATAGTTATACCATCCTTTTGGCGATATATTTCGTTGTTGAAAGAGAATTGAACATTCAGGGTACACCTCAGAAGGAGTTCTTTAAGACGCTCGGTGGGTATACCGATGTTTATTCTTTTGAAATCAATAAGTTCGCATATATAGCATATTGTTTCAGTCAGTGGAACATTTGTGAATAGTGATGTGACATCTAATGAGATCATGGTCCTGTTGGATACGTTGATGTTTTCAATTGAGTCGATAAAGTCGAATGAATCTCGAACTGTGTGGCAGGAAACTTGTCTTCTGATTGGTTCTAGTAGATCTGCTAGCCATTGGGCTGTGCGGTGATAAGGCGAATTGGTCATGTCGAGGATCGGTCGAAGAGGGATGCCCTTCTTGTGTACTTTCGGAAGTCCGTAGAGTCGTAGTATATTTGAGCCGGATGGTCTTATGGATTCGAACGTTTCGTTGCTGATCAAAGATTCAGTTTTTGGCTTACGGAGGGTGTCCGTTAGCTTTTGTTCGGTCTGTTCAGTCATGTTTTTCTCGTTAATCGGTCTTGTGAATTTACATTCATCGGATAGTATAGTCAGCATCTTACTGATATAGTCCTCACGATTCATGATTACGATTCCTCCGCCTTTATCAGGACGTAATATCATGACCTCTTCGTTTTTCATAAGTTCTTCCAGCTCCTCATAGTGCCTCTTCGTCAAAATGGACCTTCCGTTGGGTTTGGTATTTATAAACTTGTGACAACTGTCGAGGATTGATGCTTTGAGTTGTTGTGGGTTGTTCTTTTTTTACCTGATCAATTATCTAATTTTGACGAACCTCAGGTACACACATACACACAAATAATTATATATAAATGCGATTGTACAGCTATGTGAGTGAATTCGCCGTAAAGAGTCTCTTCGCTGAACGTTTTCTCTTTTTCATATGACTAAATGGGGATTTTCAAGTTACTCAATCTATCTTATTACCTGAAAAGTAAATTCTACCTAATCTTTTTTTCCTTTTTTTCTTCTGTCTCTTCATTGGTATTATTCTGTCTTCTTAATTGTAATATTTTGCATTTTCAACTTTCTTGTTCTCTACCCCCACCCGATTTAATTTCTACACCTCACTACCACTTTAATTGATCTGACCAACGCTCAATTTCTAGTCATTTATGTTACGTCATCCAACTTAATTGCTCAATTTCAGTTCTAATTTAAATGGCATTATTATCTACCCCACTTCTACTTAGCCTCTATCTGTAATTACCTCTGTTGCTGCCGTGACCTAAGTTAAAACATTTTAGTCAATTATATTACGTCATCTAACTTACTAACTCAGTCTTACTTTAGTTGCTGTCCAATTAACCTTGTTTCTATTTTAGTTTCACTTTCATACACGCAACCTCATTTGCTGCTTCGTGGGAGAAACAAGAAGAACATTTGACAGAGATCATACTGAAATTCAGTAATTTAGTTTCGATGGAGAACTTCATTCAAGGAAGAATGACTGGAAGGAATTACAGCCTGTTCACCAGATTCACACCTTAACCCAACGTTAAACCTATCCTATGATATCACAAACATCAATCAGCAGAATGTTAGCTATGACGAGGGTAAATAAAAAATGAATACAACTTCTAACTTACAGACTCGACTGCCGCCTCAGAAGTTGACAACTCCGTATTTTCAATGTGCGATAAGGGGCCTTCTGGTTGTCCACACTCATTGTTACATTCTCCCCTAACACCTGATGTAATCCTCTCCGGTGTTGTCTCAATTGACGCGTTTATCGTGCTTACTTTACGCAGTTGAGCTTTCGTACGAGGGTGACTTGTGTTATGCACCATCACGGTATTGGATTTGACACGTACACACGAAGAATTAACACTGAAATGACTTTCGTCTATTATTAAGTACCCACGGTCCCGTTGTTGAATATTGCACGATGAACGTTTATATTGACCACAGGAAACACGCGGATTGTCTGTCGATATCACAGGCAACTTCGATGATGAATACAATTTCGACATTTCCAAAGCCAACTGAGGAGGATATCGTAGTCTACTACACTTTTGGTTGACATATTCACGTATCACAGAATTTTCAATGTGCGAATCACCTACCAAACCAGTCGATAATCGAAGAGGAAGAGAAAACAAGTTATTCACATCATTCCCAGTTGATAAAGATCCTACACAGACATTTTCTATGCTTGATGAAGCAGTAGGTGGTGTTACCGAAGTGTCATTCGATCTTACCTCTTCATTCGCGGAAGAACAAAGGTTTCTTGAAGACTTATCATGCACTGAACTGATTGAATCGGATGAAGTACTTGTGCCAGTCACATTGGAAGTGCATACTGACTGCAAACCATCTGAATTAAAAAATATTCACGACCATATGAAGTCCACAACTCAACAACGTGACTGTGAACCACAAATGTCACACACACACACACACACACGATCGTCAATAGGCAACGCCATCTACCTGTCGTCTCACTTGAAGTAGAACAAGATATTCTATCATACAGTTAGCACACTGTTCATCTCTAATTCTTATGCGTAAAACGTGCACTTATACTTTCAATGGCTACGCCTCACAGTCATAAAGAAGGATGGAGAGAACTGTCGAGCAGAACACATTTCCTTTCTCCATAGCCATCCAAATATCACGTCTACGCAATGGACGATGTATATGTGAAAGTATCAGACAGCAAGCACTACTCTATCCATGATGAGAGTTCCCCACTAATTAATTAATCCATTAGGGCTGAAGCAACTTGACAAATAAGCTCAGTCGTTAGCACACTGAACCACTTCATTCTTCATGCCTTAAAACTACTAGTCGGTGCAGATAAGTTCTGTAGCAACAGATTACATTCGACAGGAGAAAATTGCATCTCGAATATACTGAAATACCTGCCCAACGTGTTGAATGCGGTACACGTTTGATATTATACAACTTGAAAGGTCCCTGAAACATGACCGACTAGAATTAGTCTCCGAACATACTACATCCGATTGCAGATATGCATATATGGTTCAGTCATTCATTTGAAGTGGAGGAATGATAAGTAAGAGAGACGGAACAATACTCAGCCAACAAATACGAATATCAACAAATCCAAAAGGAGCTCTACAGGCTCATTCACAGAGAGCTGCTACATACTTCATCTGGCATAGTCAATGACGATGAAAATAAGCATATGCCAAGGAAGTTCCATATTAGTTTGTTTAATAGATGTATCACACAGTGAAACAGTATTATTTACTGGTTTAATCTAGTGCCCAAAGCTAATAATCCCAGTAGGATGTATGGTGTTGTTGTTGTGTTCATAAGTCAGGATACCCTATTAGACCCATAGTTGATTTTAGAAATTCACCTACCTATGAATTATCTAAATATTTAGCCATGGTATTAAATCTCCTAAACATCCACTCGAAATCTAGACTAACTAATTCTTATGAAGTTAAATACAGATTAAATAATATAAAATTAGATAATGAAGAAAAAATGGTTAGTTTTGACATTGTCAGTTTATATACATACACGTATACCAATAAATATGACTATAGAGGCAGTCAGAAAAGAACTCAATTCTGACCAAGAACTCGAACTTAGGACGAAAGTGCCACTTGAGGTCATAATGCTGGGAGTGCAGCTGTTCCTGACTTCCACAGTATTTAAATCCCAAAGGAAATAAACAAAACAAACTGAGGGAGTTGACATGGGATCACCAATATCCCCGGTTGTAGTAGATATATTCATGGATAGGTGGGAAAACATAGCGATTGAGACGTCCACTCCCACCCATCCGAAAAGTATGGTGGAGGTATGCAGATGACACATTCACTGTCATTCACTTAGAACACAAGATATAGACAGATTTTTCGAACACATCAACTCGAAGGTAGACGCAATTCAATTCACTAATGAATTGGAAAATCAGGAGGGGGGGCTACCAATGTTAGATTGCAGTGTAAATTGGAAAGAAGATGGGAAGTTAAACACTAGTGTTTACAGGAAATCCACACATTCAAACAGATATTTGGACTTCCGATCATCCCATCCTAGGTCAGTGAAAATAGGATTGGTGAAATGTTTAAGTGACAGAGCACAAAACTAAGTAGTACCAAGGAAAATCTAAGACAGGAAGTGAGGCATATAAGAGAAGCCTTGAAACTTGATGATTACCCTGATAAATTAGTCAGGAAATATGTAGGGAAATGTAAAAATAGAAATAAAATAAATAATGATAATAGTGATAGTGATAATAGTAATAATAATAGTAATATTAATGACAACATGCATGTCAAATGTGCGCAAGACGACACCAACAATAAGGAATCTAAATCATCAGGATTGATTCCTGCCATACAAGGAAGGAACCTCGGAAACCACGTTACGCAGAATTCTTAACAAGGCAGCATGAGCAAAAGTGGCTGGAATTAAAACCAACCACAAACTCAATTAGAAACAAGCTTTGTCGGTTAAAGGATAAATCCAGTGGAGCCTTTAAAACAAAACAATTTAGTTTGTCTAATACCCCATCTGCAATGAATGATTGTCAGGTCAAAAACATAGGTCACAGTAATAGAACAGTCAGTCAGTCAGACTGGCCAAACATAATGAACTAGCAAAATCTACATTGGTTGACCCGAATAAGATAAAAAATCTGGAGAATTTTTCAGCTATATCACTCATTACATGCAGTTACACACAACCACACAATAGGCTGGATGGGATAGGATGACAGTTTCAAAATCTAATGTCACAGGGTGGAGCGAGGGAGAGATTGATGACAGAAGCTCTGTTTATCGAATCAACTGCAAATACATGTAATAGGAATGATTCAACACCTGTCCAGGAGGATATCTGGAAAATTCTACTACTCCCACGACAAATAGGAGAAGACAAGAAACCTATAAAACCCAAGTTTCGAAGCCATGTGATTACAATTGGTATGATTATAAACCATGACAAATTTTGTTCGAAACCTTGTCATCCAATAAATAATACTGTTTCACTGTGTGATACATCTAATAAACAAACTAATATGGAATTACTTACTACCACCACAGTCCCCAAGTTTTACACATACATTAATATGCCAAAGAAGGTCTACACACTCGTCCACAGATCTCATCACCACCTAGTACTTCAAACCTAATGGACAACACACTCTGCCACTTCACTCCACATCCTTGTAACAGAAGTCATGAAATCCAGTCCTCTAACATCACTTTATATTTCACAAGATAGGATCACACACCAAACTCACTCACATACTCGTTCAGTGGCATGGAGCACGACACCTTCTCTAAGCCTTTCCAGCTAACACAACAGTCTAGTGAAAGTGCACCAAAATCGAAAGCATCTTCCCCTACCAAGTCAATTCCTCAAATCAAACATCAACAGCCATAGTGGCTACTTGGAACAACAAGTCAACACAAACTCTAATACAACTGACTGCATCAGTTCCATTAGAGTCTATGCATCACTACCCAAAACAAACATTCTCAGAACCATTTTTACTGTTACGTCGTCACAATACTTATCGATTGACCAAGCCAAATGTTTAAAACTGGTGGTGAAATCCGACAAAATCACATCTAGTTGAGTATTTCTGTATTTATGAAACTATCGGAGGGTTATGCCTTCAAAACAACCTAGTTTCGGCTTGTAGTCTATTGCATGTTCTAAAATCTGTGACTGCTGAACAGCTTTTGATCCTTCAACTGCTACTGATTCCAACAGCTTACACACTACACAACTATTTGTAGTTCCACACACACACTGAAATTAGCACTTTAAATATGACGGAGAAGATTTGTGGCTCAGGTGGATGGACTTTGATGTGGTTGTGTTCTCTGAGCTAACTGGATAGTTAATTTGCGAAGCTTTCATCCCCCTCCCCCCTCAGTGGGCAACATCTTCAGCCCATACTTCAATTTGAGTTAAAGTGAACTTTGAGATTTCTCCACTAGTTTATTGATCATCTCTCCTGGTCACCTGTCCTTCAACGTGATTGGTTGTTATCGTGTGTGTTTTCACACCCTCTAGGCTACTTGTATTGGTATTGGTGTTGATTGTTTCCTTGACTTGAACTTTGACCCTTTGTGTGTGAGATTTCCTTCTTATCGGTTGATAGATTTTGTGAAGGGTAATCTATATTCGCTTTCGCCTCTGTTAACTAAATCTCTCGTCAAAGTTGTGACATCTTAAGTTGTGCTAATTCTCCACACACTCACTGACGACCCCAACAACAACAACTACTACGGAAATACAACCAGTGATGCAACTTTATAAGATATCTCAAGTTCATATAAACGCGACCAGCAACTATTAATGACAGACATCATTCTCAAGGTTGAACACGCCAATCAATCACATTGTCGACCATACAGACTGACCATAACTATGGAAACTGGCTTTAGTAAGTCTAGTAAGAACACTTATGAAAAAGTGAGACATATTTGTGCTGCAAACGTCATTTCCAAGTAGCACATAATCGCTAGAGGACTACCCTTTGACCATCACACCCATCATCACATAGACATAATTGATGTTCATCTTATGGTAACACATATAACGTATGGCTGGAATATATCCACAGCACAGTTTCGAAGATACATCTACTCATCGCCTGACGACAAAGCAGTATTATTGAAAATACAAAAATTTGTTTAACAGTCACTTAAGTATACTTATTTATAAATGGTCAGTTATAAGCACACTCAAGTGCTCCCACTTAGGAGGTCGATATACACACGACAATAAAGCGACAAAGACATTAAAAACTGAGTCATCCGTGAGCAGCAATAAAAACATCCATACTCATTCAAACTAAGCGTGGAGGCAAATGCCTGATCATGTGTAAATCAGAAGGCGAGAAATGAGCCTCAAGTGGGAAATTAACTTATAAAACAATACAATGTTACACTTACGATGGTTGTGGTTGAAAAAGAAATTATTCTATTAATAATAGCATTGAAATTAGTGCTAGTCGGCGCTAACCTTTCTTAACCTCCATAAATGTCAGTAGTGCATCAAAAATATTACGAGCTCGACCACACTCAGATGCACACATTCTAAATTGAATTTGAGTCACACATGCGCAATATGAAGATCACATGAAGCCATTGTTATGGGCCATACTATTTGCTTTTAAATAACTATTTCGAGGAATTAAGCTTATGATAGTATTTGTTTGTTTGACCCCGCGCAGCAATGATGGAGGCGCGTGCATCGACTGAACACGTCGTTTCTAACCATGCACCTCGCAGTAACACATCACCCTTATGTCGTTACACATGATGTCTGTTAAAAACATAGGTCCCGAAAGTTGTGATGGTGTTGAGTCACCGTAGGATGCTAGCTCTACAACAACCAGGTGTACAATTTCATTTTCTCTATAAGAGAACGTCTTTGTCTAGTGAGTGACCTAATTTCATATAATTATTTATTTCATGATGTTGGGCAGTTTGACCAACAACAATGGAGATCGATGTGACGGTTTTTTGTTTCAGGTTTACCATAATTGTTCACTTGAAAGTGTGTGCAGCTTATCGACTAAATTAACACGTACTCAGTCGAAACCTGTAGACGAACGATATGCATTGTAATGCCCTAGGTAGAATAAAGCATTTATTTCGAACTTAGTCAATTTAAACTTTTATATCTCAAGGAGATGTAAACCGTCCAGCTTTGTTAACCTGAAACACTTATGTTATGTGATGTCACGATTAAGAGTACGCTTTACTTTTCTCAAGATGTACTGTGATAAACAATCATAAAGCCTATCATGTTGTATTCAATGTGGTGTTGTTAATCTGTATTACATTATGATGGCGATTAAATCTCCAAATAGATTCTGATGCACGAAATGCTTCAAGTCATCTGGGAGGCGACGAAGTACTTGTGTTCAACATAGTAGTGATTCACATGGGAATGTATTTTGTTCTGACTCCCTGTCTGTACACATGTCTGCAATTTCTGATATGGAAAATAAACACAACTAAAACCACTCGATGTCCCACGTGTGGCATACAATTTATCCGGTCCTATGTAGTGTTGTCCGTTGTTTTTGATATTCTAACACAGATAATAGTGAAGCTCAAATCGGTAGTGATCCGTTGTGTATTCCTGTAGTAATAATCTTACTGTGACGTTAACTAGAGCTCATAGACCATCGAGTGTATGGCCGAAATCTGTTGATTCCATCTGAAGTAGTGCAGGAAGTAAGTTTATTGGCTGGTCGATTGAAAGTCTGAGACCAATCGTCTCAGTTGGACTGATTGCAAAGTTTATTAAATGGAATTCTAATGTTTCTTTTACTAAAACTGTGACCATTTCTCCTATAGATATCAGTGTCAAATGCCACTTAAATCGGGAATTTGATACCAGAAAACGCGTTTTAGAAGCCGAACAAATGCATTCAAAATTGGATACACCTCGGAAATACTGCTAAGCACCTCAGTTATTAACTATATGATGTATATTTGGAAGGACTTGTGGAGTACGTAACAGTATGATTGTACACTCTTTTGTTAGATGTTGAAATTACAAACATTGTACATGACTTTTGTTTAAAACAATTCATGTTGTAATATAGATAACTTCCGAGTAAAATCTGAAATACAGTGAGTGTACTGTTGGTCGTTTCATCTTCTCACTAGTCTATACTGTCTACCTGCTTCACTCTTAACCGAGTTGTTTACTTTCGATTTTGCAGGAAACTCTTATCTTACTCATCCGAAGACTATTCTACAACCAGTACACAGCTTCTACCAGTAGACACGACTCCAGGAGTGAACGCTTCTGTGGATTACATTATTAATTTGTAGCCATGGGCTTTAACTGTATATCCAAGTAACCGTTTAAATAATATAACTGATTACTGTATTTTTTTTATAATATACTGTTAAGCTATCACCTAATTAACTTGGATTCTTATTCACATATTTGTTCTGTTATTCATCTCGCTAGATAGTCCCCTTCACATGAACACGACGACAACAGATAATTTCTAGATACCTCTGACTTATACAGAAGTTGCAGTAAAGCAAACCTGACATCAGACAATTTATTTTTGTTTCTGCTTAAAGTCATCAGTTGCGTATACACTGGATTGTGTCTCCCACTCATGAATCAATGTTCGTAAGCCGAAAACTTTTGAAATACAAGATACACAATATTCTTGTATGTTGTTGTTCTGAAGGCCTGTAATTCTCAGAGTACACATCACCAGGATTTAGAATTAACGTGTCCACGGTTTCTAACAGTATCAGTGAACAGCAGTCTTTGTATTCTTATCTCCTAAAAGGCAGTCTAAAGAGATGAAGGATACGTATTCTCTCGGGATAATTATTGTTCCAGGAAAAATTTCACACTACCTCACGTAATCTTAAAAATCGCATATGCTACGCTGATTTTTGCGATCCTTTGTCCACCTAGTGACCTTTCGACTAATAAATTCAGTCACAGCACAAATAGCAGTGAACTTCATTCCACCAAGTAGACGAACATAGAAACAGTTCTCCACTGCAAATATTTTGTTGAATTCAATGACTTGGTGTTTTTATAAAGATTTGTATATTGTGATGGCGAATGCGGGTGGCAATAATACTAATGATCATGCCTTGACATACAAAACAGTAATTTCTCTCAACTCTGAGTCTTGCATCACCTGTGAAGTGTAGTAGTTTGCACGGTTGGATTCACTGCAAACTTCTACATTGAAATCCAGTTTGGAAGCATGTGCAATTGGAATCTATTTTATGCGAATTACTTGAGTGCTAGTGGATTAGCTCATGTACAAGGCTAGTAGTTTTCCTTAGTTGTTTTGAACGTATATTTAGGGTCCGTCAGAGGTAGTTACTTGCTTCCATTAGTACAACACAAATTATGCCTGTCTTACATGCACAATAAACTAAAGCTAGTGAACCTAAATTCCTGAAAGCGAGGCAAATTATAGCATTGAAAGCCTTTTGGAGAGAGAAACGCTACATAGAGAGAAACCATGGACTCATTACGCACTCTCTTCTGGGAAGTTCAACAGATTATTACTATGAGGCATAGCATGTTGATTCTTATAAGCGTAGAGGTCATCGAAGCTAGTTGTATAAAATTTCACTCAATACAGAAAACTCTGTATGACTCATTTGGTTAACCGGAAAACACTCTTCCTTGTAGTTTATTGAAATAATATTATCGCTCGATCAGAATTACACCGACCTAGTTGTGTGGTGATAAAGACGTCCGATTTCCAACGAAACAGTAGTCTGCATCACGTACCTAGTCAGATGATTGGTTAATTTTAGTATATAATTATATTTAAGAAAATTTTTATTCTTCTCAATGCAGTAATATACATGATTGCACCCAATCTATTATCCCCAATTGGATTAGCACAAAAGTCAAGTTCAATCTGAGTAGTTTTTCCTGAGTTTTAGGTCCCCCCCCCTCACCACTCCTGGATGTCTAACAATAACGACTAGGTGACGACTCACACGACGAATGGCGTAATACCTAAGAACTATTGTTGTATTCATACCTTTGAACTCATAGAAGCGTTATTGAGGAGTTGTGAAGCTGTGATGCTTCGCATACGGGAAATAATTTCAAAACATCTAGGAGGTTAGTATGTAGGCATACAGGACTTCGCACCGAATCTCGTCAATACATGTTTTCGAGTCTCAAAGCCTTATATAAAGAACACGGGAATGAAGGTGTAGTCATGTTATATACATATATATCAGGAAGTCACTACATCCAGTCGAATATATTCCTCACAGTATGGGAAACCTAAACTCGATGTATTGAGTGAGTGTTCTTATTAGTATAACACTTCGTGTGTGATACACTGTTAGTACTTGAGTGATTGTGTGTGCACACGACTTTCTAACTTGCTTTACCCTCTCTTCTCTCGATGATCAGTGGAATTAACTTTCTATGCAAGTAGTATTGAGGCGACAAATCAATTATTATTTTCACTAGTCTCTCTGTTTTTCTTATGGGCCATAATATTCTTCGGATGAATTCACTAGTAATAATTTTATTAACTGTTTGATGTCGCCAATTACATTGCCTAAGTCCCTGGCCAACCACCTGTCGTGAATATATAACTACTGAATTGTAGCCACCTTCACTGACTTTCGGTGGGATTATGCAGATCTTAAGCATCTACTAGACTTTGAATTTAGCTACATCCAGGATGACTGACCTCGCTCATTCGAGTAAACTAGAAACTAGCTGGGCCACTGGTATCAATTTATTTTGATGTTGTCACGCAACATGGTGAGGTGAGGTAAACGTAGCAAGCAAAGAGAAATATAATCGCGTGGAGAGATGCCAATCACCAAATATTGATTCGTCAGATACATTAAATCGTAATGAATCATTGCGTATCCCGGATATGTGGAAAATTGGACTACATAGATATAGCTTGCATGTATTTTGCTTCTTTCTCTTAATATGTAAGTTCACTATTATTATTATTGTCCTTAATACTTTATTATCATTATTATTCCCATCATCCACATTTTATTACCACTCTATTATTACTGTTAATTAGTAACATTGCTTTTTCATATAGATTTTATACAAAAACACTTTATACCTTTTCCACTAGTTCCTGTCCATTCTACACTAGCTTATTGATCAGTCATGATCTTACACTTGTTCAGACATGCCAAATTCTGTCTCCTTTCTAACTTACATTTAGCCATCCCTTCTAACACCTTACATTAGGTAGTACAATTTTCAAGGACAAAGTTTACCAGTATCTGATTGGTCTAAAGACTTCTTAGTTAATTATAATTACGACTGTACAGCTCATGAAAATGAATCGTCGAAAAGAAAATTTTCTTGGCTGTTTGCGCCTTTTTCTTATGACTCAATATGGAAATATTTCGTTCATTGAACAAACAGTAATTAACGCCATCTTCAGAAAACCATATGGCCTTCGATTAGTAGTCACCTACATGCTTCGAAAGTGTTGCACACCAACAATAATTTTGTGTGGATATCTGTGAACCCCAACATACTAGGTAATCAAGTCCAAACTCCCAAAGTTTTCGAAAATTCTACTGTCTCTGGTTTACGCCTGTTTGTATAATAAAACCAACCTAACCAATATCCTACTCAATCTGGAACTTGACTGTATGCTAAATAAAGCACTATTTCAAACAAACTCACGTGCTTGTTTTCCAGTTTTATGCCTGGTGTCTCAACCACCGATCATGGAACCCTGACACACTTTCAATTTCTAGTAATCATTTCACTATATTCATTCCTAGTTTGGCTTCTTCAAGTATGAGTAATCTGTCCCTATTAAATAACAGTCAAGTGCGTCATTTACAAGTTGCTATCTATTTTCAACTGCTCACTACTAACTATAACCTGCTCAAAAATTTCACAGAATATTGAGTCACGGTAAATACTTCGACAACACTGGCAAGATCACTATTTATTCTGTACAATATCTTACTAAACAAATAATCAGGCCTCCAGTAGACCACCTTACTGTGCTGTGATTGCTTTTCATTCATCTTATCAGTGATTACGTCCATATATTCTGTTTTCGTGATTGACTGTGTAAGCTGCTTACCCATCTCAACACTAAATTCACGTGCATATGACATCTGTCACAATCTACTCAGCTTGCATACTATCAACTGCCAACATCTCCTCGGAAGCAAACAGAAACCTACATAATTTTCAATCAACACTTATTCCTTAAGATTTCGCATCCCTGAAATTTAACTCACTTCTTCCTGATTCCTATGCCATCACATCGCCTCTCGTATCCTAATTTTGACTAAAATAAGTGAATACTTATACTACTCTCTATGACAGCATTACAGGTTGTAAGTTAGTTAAGGACACGTTCAACCTATTTCTCCAAAACTACTGTTGATAACATTCTCAACCATTGAGTGAAATTATGAATGTAGTTAAGTGCCTAGTAACTGTCAATCTTATTTTAGGTTATTTGGCAATTCACCTTGACCAATGACACGGGATGAGGGCCACACGTTGTTTAGCTTAAGCTGAGTTCACTAGGCCACGTAAGAGAATATTCACGTGATGCGTCGACTTTTTTACCACTATTTCCGTTTTTTAGCAGTATGGGGATTCAGTGCAGTCACCTACAGCTTCAACTAGCTCTCCAGTTGATTTAATCTTTGATAAACGGGTAGACTTGGCCACACGAGGTTTGGGTATCGAGAAGCTCCCGACGTATGTAAGACTGAGATATTGGAGAAAATGACTTTGCTTGAGATAGACAATCCCGTGTTTCCCTACACCTAAAGCCATTTTATGACTTAACTGATGGACGATCAATGCAACCTAGCCTTAATACATTCCTTCCTAGGAGGTGATGGATAGTCTACAAATTCTAGACGTGTAGATGTATTACAGTCATAGTTATCACTATCCTGATATCGACACGAATTTCATTTTGTTTCTCAGTTGTCACAAGTTTTATCTGACAGATGACCCGGTAGAGTCTTCCACGTTCAACAAACAAAAGCTTCGTCGGTGTAGACTGAATCACAATCCCTTATTTGAGATAGAGACACGCCATTTATAGTATTTGTAGATTACCTCAACTTCACTTGGGCATGAGAGTTGCATTCCTTGTCATTTAATCTACGTGGTGTATGTTGTGCGTCGGTGGCACAGCCGTTAGGACTCTCGCCGACCATGAACATGGTTCGGGGTTCGATCCCCTGCCAACGCACACCTCATATCAATGGTCAGCCTGCAAAATTTGGGCTACCGATATCAAATGCTAAAAATTCCATACTTGTACCAAAAATACTATGTGGTTTCAAGCTATAACCACAATGAAATAAAAAAGTTCACTTTCGCCAAATGTTTTTAGGCGAATACAAAATCGCATAACAGCTTGTGACAAGCTTAGAAGACATGCCGAATCACCTCCGCTTCACAAGAGATGAGTCTACTCTATGGCGGATAGTTTGTAGAAGTTGGCCATTCCCTAGTATCTTGTAATTTATTCACCGTCATCGGGAAGCTTTCCGAACGCCCAATAACATTGCGTAGTGTATCCCACACCAGCCATCTAGAAGAAGATGCCATACAAAATAAATGAAAATAACGCCAATGAAAGCAAATCGAATGAAAATACAAGGAAAACTGCGTCGGTGGCACAGTGGTTAGGATTCTCGCCGACCATGCACATGGTCCGGGGTTTCGAGCCCACGCCGACGCACACCTGATATCTATGGTCGGCCTGCGAAATTTGGGCTACCGATATCCATGCTGAAAATTCCATACTTGTACCAAAAATACGGTGTGGAATCAAGCTGTAATCAAAAATAAAAAAAATAAAACAACAAAATAAAGATGACTGGGACCAGATTCTTGATTAATTCTTACGTTACAATTGAGGCAAGTATTCTCTACTAGCTTTTAGTCGAGTCATGTGTCAGACTTATGAATTGAAATAATATTGTTTGGACGTAAGATTCAACTTTGCGTGACTCAGAGAAGTTTGTTTGTGTACCACGAAATGCAGTAAATCATGTCCATTGTATTAAACTCGGTTTCTTCAATTTGTCTGCTGCATTCATCCCATCAGGATAACTCATTGTTGGTCCTTGCATATACGCGGATTCATTATTCCACATTTTGTCTCCACAACCAACTGAAGTGTGTTAAATTGTCAGATTAACAGTTGGCTTTTATTTTCCACGTTGCTGGTAGTTAACAAAAAAACTCAAGGAGTGAAGCGGTTCTATCTTATGATCTTCTAATATCCTTTTGTTCAAATGAGTCATTGTTTAAGAGACAGTGATTTTCCTTACGCCTAGACTACTAATAATCTTGCGTCTCGGTACATGTTACGGTGACCATGAGAACACATTCTAGTATGGTTCTTACAGAAAACGAATCGAATATTCCGAAGTTTACTGGTAACCTACTCAGATTGTCCAATTTGGCTAAGAGCCACACTTCGTGATATTATTCATGCGAAAGCCACTGAGATGATTGTTAACTGCTCGTTAACTTTATTTGTTACAGAAATCAAAGTGATTACCCGATTGCAATATATGGCATACACCAGTTTGCAACGTGTTGACTAACAATCTCACTACCGAAAATGGTCATGCTCAGTCCTCTGTTGAAAATTAAGGAAGCCATTAACATTTATTCTTCTACAAATTCTCCGCCAAAAGGAAATTGAAGAAAAATATCGCATGGAAATCTTCCAAAAAATGGATATCCATGGAATTTCATCATAAGACATATGCCCCCAAGTCAACCTATCATATCAAAAGCCCCAAAGAAAAGCACAAAGAAAATCGCCTTACCATATATAAAGAACATCTAAGAAATCACTACAAAACTCTTCAAACCTTTAGGAATTGAAGTCTCACACAAACCAACAAAAGCAGTTCACTCAGCTCTATGTTAACCAGAAGACTCAACGACTACAGAAAATAAATTGTGGCGACTGCGAAAAACATTACATTGGCCAAAGTGGATGTCCCCTTAGCCTTCGTATCCATGATTATAAGCTAGCCGTCAAAAGACATGATATCCACTCCCTCATATCACTACATACAGACAACCACGGAGATCGATTAGACTGGGACAACCAACGTTCAAATATTAGACAGAGGAAACAACAAGAATGCTAGACAATTTTTAGAAGCTTGGCATTCCAGTGAATCATCAATCAATAGACACATCGACAAGAAGGAAATCGCATACACAAAGGGTCAAAGTTCAAGTTAAAGAAACAATCAGTTGCAATATAAGTAACCTAGAAGGTGTGAAAACACACACGATAACAACCAATCACGTTGAAGGTCAGCTGACCAGGAGAGATGATTAATAAACTCATGGAGAAATCTAAAAGCTCACTTCAATTCAAATTGAAGTATGGGCTGAAGACGTTGCCTAGTGGGGGGAGGGCAATGGAAGCTTCGCAAATTAACTATCCAGTTAGCTCAGAGAACACAACCACATCAAAATCATCCACCTGAGCTACAAATCTTCTCCATCATAACTAATAATCATGTCTTTCGAATAAGTCAAATGTAAAGGGAATCAAAAACAACTAGAAGATGCTTAGTCACAACGAGTATCAACAGTCTTAATCAATGAAACATTAGTAATCAAAGAATCAATATCAAAAGAATACATTTTCATATCTTTTATATTCAAGTCTACAAGACAGTCAGCAAGTTCAAATGTATCCTTCAAAGAGAATTACACAACTCATACTGGGCGTACAGAGCTTAAAATGCCAGTTAACCATTTCGCGAGTTTATGAGTAGCAGAATGATACATTGGTGGAATTAAACGTAACTGACCGTCAAATTTATGAATCTTGGATAATCCACAAAGGCTAGGAAAGTCAGATCCCATGGGTCGCAATGAATTACACTCCTAATGTAAGTGTACAATTTGGGCACTCTGGCGGAGTGTAATTCCCCACTAAACAAGCTTATTTTAAATATTACATTCTGATGCGGTATAAATAACTGGTTGATGTTTCGAGCACAAATTATTGGACATCATGAATAACGCTAGAAGCCTAACTAGTAATTCAGAACATTAAAATAATGAAATAAAACAAGTAAGGAAAATATTACTATTGAATAACTACACACCAGAATTTATTCAGAAATGTATGAAGTACTACAGCAAAAATAAAATTAGTAATGATAACGACAAAAATAACAGAATTCAAAGTCTCTGTTGTACTGTCGTATAAAGAAGGAACCTCAGAGGCATTATACAGAATCCTCAGTGACACCGGAGTTATGGCGGCATTTAAACTAAACAATCAATCAACTCTCTCAGAGAAAAACTTTGTCAGCCTAAGGACCCAACACATTCAACTAAATATAATAATACAATTTACCAAACACCATGTAATAACTGTGACGCCAATTACATAAGTCAAACAAAGGAAGCACTGGGTTGAACACTTCAAAAGACTTCTAAATCGACCGCCACCTACAACGCACCTAATAATACCAAAAGTAGAAACAGAACTACCAGTGGACAGTAACCCTCCGACGGAAACAGAAATCCCGATGTCTAAAAACTGGAAAAGGAGCAGGACCAGATGGAATTCCTGCAGAATCATTGGTGATGGACCCAGAGACATCAGCGGACTTGATGACACCACTACTGGAGAAAGTGTGAAAAGAGGGTAAGGTACTTGTGGATTGGAAGAAAGGCTACTAATCAAACCGCCAAAGAAAGGAGACTTAAGTCAATGCAAGAACTGGTGCGGAATTATGCTCCTGTTCATAACAAGCAAAATACTAAGCCGCATCATCCTGGAGAGAATCAAACACGCCAACCTGGATGAAAAACTTCGACCGAAACAGGCTGGATTCGGAAGGAATAAGTCATGCATTAACCAAATCGCAACACGACGGATCATCATTGAACAGAGCTTGGAATGGCAGTTAGTACTCTAACTCAACTTCATTGACTTTGAAAGGGCCTTCAGCAGATGGAGTCGATCGAGAGGTGATATGGCAACTACTTCGCTACTAGGGTGTGCCGCCAACAATTATACACTTCATCCAACAGTTATACGACAATGCTGCATGCCAAGTAGTCCACAACGGGAAAACTCACGGAATCCTTCGGAGTAAAGACGTGAGTAAGACAAGCTGGCTGCGTACTATCTCCGATGATTTTCCTGATTGCGGTAGACTGGATAATGTGACAGATAGAGGGCACCGAGGAAACAGGCATAAAATAGATCCACTCAAAAACACTTGGAGGATCTGGAATTCGCCAATGATATATTTCTGGTATCCCACAAACTGGAAGACATGCAAATGAAAAGCAACAAGTTGGCAGAAGAACCATCGAGAGAAGATAGGACGTCAGGTGAACATAGATAAAACAGAGGAGATGAAGATTCCTGGCCAACAGCAACATCAACAATCAGCATCAATGGAAGAAATTTGAAAGAAACAACCTCTTTCACCTACCTGCATACCTACCCAACTGAAAAGCATCGTTTCAGCTACAGGCAGAATTGATGACGACATCAGAGTAAGCATCCAGAAAACAAGGCAAGCTTTCATTTCTCTCAAGTCGGTGTGGAGATAAACAGCACTCAACATGAAAAACAAGATTCGGACTTTCAACTCCAATGTAAAGTCAGTACTACTATACGGATTAGAGACTTGCACTGAGCGTCACGAACGGCAGTTTGACCAGACTACAGACCTTTATCAACAACTGTTTTCGCTTAATACTCAATATCAGATGGCCGGAAAAGATTAGAAATTGTGAGGGATCTCTAGGAGCGAACCAACTCAGCAGGAACCAATTGTGCAACAAATATGCAGGAAGAAATGCAGTTGGTGGATTGGCCATACTCTCAGAAAACAAGCCATCAAGTGACATCACACGACATGCCATCAGTCGAGTGGAAGAAAAATGGGAAGCGTCGAGTTGGTCATCAGTGCGAGGGTAACATGGAGGAGGTCATGTGAAGAGGAGGTGGGACGATGTGGGCAGACGTGGAGCCAGGTGAAAATGTTGACAGAGGACCGAACGCAATGGAGATGGACAGTTAAGCCCTATGTTCCTCTAGGAATTAAAGGAAACAATGATAATAATTATGCAATTAAACTCTTCGTTGTCAATAACATTCACGCATAAAAGCATCTTTGAGAACCTGTAGCATTTTTCACCACTTGAGAATCAGGAGGGAAATGCTAAAAGAAAGAAAAAGTATTCATTATTAGGAGATAAGCAGCAGTATCACATGACAAAATTAATTACCCAGTCAGTGTTACAAGAAAATATGAGACACTCAGGCTGATGTGATAATAACATTCAGGTAGGCAATTGATTATTGACATGAAACACTGTTTAGCTACACATCGATATGAATATCCTCATTCGAAAATATCGTGTCCTCACTCACATACTATGTGGACATGACAGTTTCAAACAGGATATTAATAGTGAACTAATAGTCTGAAGGTGGAAAGAAATTCTCGGTATTTTGGGGCAGCAAGTGTCAGTTGAACCATCAACTGTGTGATAAAAGAAGCATGAGTGTAACCACCAGAGACGGACCGAAGACTCAGTAAGCCATCATGTCACGTAATGCATATGTGTGATATGATAATCTTGTTATGCTTCGGTGTAAACGCTTGTACAATAGCAGTGATGTCAGCCCTTAACATTAACCATTTTGGAATTTTGTACAGCAAGTGGTACGTTTATGCACCTGCAGACCATCAGCAACTGTCATAATAAATCGTTTCAGTTCACTTTGGAATCACCTCTTATCAGGCAACAAATAAACATGCGATACAAAGTCTAGCAAGATATACTACGCCTATAGGTTGACAGACTGGTTAGGATGCAACTGTATACGATGAGGCCACTGCTATGTTACATAACACATGAGGTATGCCGTCTTTCGTGTAAGTTGTAATCCTAACAGACCGCTTTCTAGAGCACAAATCGTAACCACAGGAACGATAACTGTCAAAGTATGCATTTTGTCTATTGTTGTCACAATTGTCAGTAATATGGCATGTGAGACAAATTGACCGTTGTGTAGGAAATTCGCTCAACAGATAGGCTGACAAGTTGAATAAGTGAGTAGCAACATCTCCACACTAACAATAAACTGACACGGTGGTGTGAGAAGTCATTCAAATGCAACATGGACATAGCTCACAACCATTCGTGCAGTAGCTGGATTGATCAGGGGAGTTCAAAGACCCTTAGTACCTGTCTTCTGTAGGATAACTCATAGAAAAAGTTATACCGTCGAAAAGATAGACTGTGGACAACTTTTCAAGCCACACAGAATGAGGCAACAAAACACTCACCACGCATGCAAAGTGTAGTGGCAGGCTGATATACTGTCGAAAGGACTCAAGACGTTTACCAGCAGACATTTGAGAAGTTCTTCAGCTTGGAGATGTTATTTTTCACACTGGCAAGCTTCCTCAAATGGCTGATAGCAAGCACTATAAGCGAATATTCCTGAGGATAGACACATACACTTCACATATTTGTAATGAGCTCACAAAGTGTCATTACTTTTATTAAGGGACGTAGAACCGGTATCTCAGGGAGCCTGAGAGTAAGCCTCTAAGAATTTTACACATGGTGAAAATCCCTATTTATTTTCTATCACGGAGAAATGCATATTTGCCAACTATTAAAGGACGCTAAGGCTCCTATAAATGCATGCACAGCGCCAATGAATGCGGAAAATTTAAGAAATATTGAACAATACGCGAAACACTCAATTATGGGGAACAATGTGGCATGGTTTCAAAGTATCTATAGACCGAAAACCACATGTTACTGATTACCAACGATCAGCAGCAGTTGAAGCGGCAATACACCTCTCAGCGTTAGGCTGAGTGCTCACACCTGTGATCAGTCTCTTAAAGTCAATAATGCTGTGGACAACGAAGCTAAACTTCAAGCACTTAAGCAGTCCGACTAATTACTTCAAAAAAGAGATTTCTATGCATTAAGTGCACATATTTATGATAATAATAGTAATAATAAAATGGTATATAACTGTTACACAGTATGCTCTTCTCTTCCAAAGCCTAACCTGAAACTTGCCAGATATCCCATGTAGGATATTTTAATGACATAACACTCCACTCAGCATATTTTATTCACGATGATATTATTCTTTACCACATTGCACTAACTTGCTAGCTGAGCGTTTTAAGGTCGTTAGAGAGGTCGCATTCTGTTAGTATTTACTGGTGCTTGAAGCTTAGCTTCGAAAAATTAACGAAATCGGTAACTAAAGAAAAGCAGTTCCATTATGGGTAAATTTTGTTTTGATAGTCTCACAGTGTTATACAGTAATGTTTACTGATGACGTTTCGAGCACAATTTACTGCTCATAATCATATCAAGGTAATCACACGACTTCCTAATTTCATTTATATAGCTCCATTGTTTTTCTCTTGACTTTCACTTGATTTGATTGGTAATCGTCACATACCTGAAATATGGGAAATACTATTACCAATCAAATCAAGTGAAAATCAAGAGAAAAACAATGGAGCTATATAAATGAAATTAGGAAGTCGTGTGATTACCTTGATATGATTATGAGCAATAAATTGTGCTCGAAACGTCATCAGTAAACATCACTGTATAACACTGTGAGATTTTATCAAAACAAAATTTACCCATAATGGTATTACGCTCTACCACAGTGCAAAAGTTTTATTCTTATATTAATAAAGAAAAAAAGGTAATTTGAGCGTTTGCACTCCTGGGACGCTATTCTTGTACTTCGCCATCAAACCAAGATGCGGAGCGAAATTTGCAACGCAAAAGGCGTTGAGCATTCATGATAAACTCAGGGAATGCCAGTCACCTGATTCCTTACTCAAGGTCCCTTGTCCGTTCAAAGGTCGTTTCGGTTGTGGCTCCTTTTATTGGAGAAGTACAAGAATACCGTCCCAGGAGTGCGAACGCTCAAATGACCTTGAACGCACGCTAGTCGTTGGCTAACAGTGCCTGTCATTATCATAGCTGAAATACCAACCCTATTCATCAAATAAGGAGCAAGTTTCACCCAGATAACACTTTTAATCACTGTTTGGACAATGTATTACCATCTCGTTAGGGTTAGGATTAGGGTCATAATTGGGATTAGGGTTAGATTTACGGCTGGATAAGGATTGTCATTTTTGGTTAGGATTAAGGTTAGGGCTAGTGTGAAATTTGGGGTCAGGGTCAGGATTAAGGTTAGGGTTGCGATTAGGGATAGATTTATGGTTAATGTCGTTTATTTTAATTTGATTTATCTTTATTTCCCTTGTATGTAGTCGTCGATCCTCCTACTGAAATCATAGTAATTTAACCGAGGGCTTCGGAGAGGACTGCACAGCAAGAGAAGAGAGATGGACAATTCACAAAACAGCACATCTTCAGTCACTTCGGTGAATATAGATGTATACATCTATAGAAACTGGTCCAAGTTAGCAACTGATACTCTTCACCATAACTGGGACGTTTTTTAAAGTCATGTCAGAGAAAGATAATATTTTTAATATGTTTTCATGCATTTTCTCGTGAATATACGTCATTTTTCGTGCTAAAATTCCTCATTTCTATGATTGGCTGGCTGAAGGTCACTCGCGCGTTCGCATTCCTTGGGACGCCATTGTTGAACTTTGCCGGTTTGATTACTGTTTGGAGAACGGACTGTTCGAGAACCTTTATCGTTCGTTAATGATATACAGATACCTTAGATACTTTCGATAAGAAAATACAATCGAGGGTGATTGCGTGTGAATCAGCAAAAGGTATTGGGGATGCATTAACGCGATCCCTAATCGCAGTGCAGGTGTATTAATGTCTATTTTCCAGCGCTTGGTGCTTCCTGGGGTGACTGTCTATACAGATGAATGGAGTAGTTACAGTGTGTTATCGAATCTGGGCTGTATTCGTCAAGTAGTCAAGCATACAAATGGTTTCCAAGATCCTTTTCATGGAACTCACCCTAATTTCATTGAAAGTTTCTGGAGTATTCTAAAAAAGTATCATTTCTGTGAAGGGATCAAGAAATGCAATAATATAGAGTTATCTCGATGAGTTTATCTGCAGGACTTGGTATAACATGAGAATCAAGAGTCCTATGAGAAATTGGGAGGTTTTTTTCAACATATACGAGAACGTTGACCTTTGTAACTATTTTTTAACATTACATTCCTTATATATAAACGACTTGTGGTGGACCTTTTACTCTGTTAGCTTAGTAACCTAAATCCAAATAGAAAATAAAATACCAAATCAGTTTAGTTACGGGAAGAATATATTAAAGTTTCGTTACTTGGGTTTACAAAGATCCAAGATCCACAATAAACGTAATAGACCCCAGAGGCGCTGCGGGAAGACTGCTCCAGTACTAATTCTCCAATGTTGACGTTGCCGGAGGTCGACCGAAGTACGTAGGAAGAAACTACGGTGTTCCTGCGAAAATTTGAGATAGAAAGCAGGTGGTTAGAATTGATCGACGGCAGTTGAGGTGGTGGAGAAGACGGAGAGTCGGAGGCAGAACTATGTATTTATTCAAAACCCGAGGTAAAGTTCAAAGTACGGAGTTTATGGTTAAAACAAAGTAATGTACAATATGTTCATTTCTTACGTATTAGTAAAAATTGGATAAGTTTATTTTTGAGGACTCCACAGACTTATTACAATTATACGCCAATTTTGTGGGTGACTCTAAAGAATAGCGGCCCAAACCGAAACGACCTTTCAACGCAAAAATGACCTTGACAGGGACAACTTCGGCCAATGAGAAGGCTCAAAAAGAAAGGCGCATAATTGTAAAAAACGGTTTATATAAAGGTAATGCAATCATAATAAACAGTTACAAAGAATGCCGTTCGCGTATATGTTGCAAAATAACCTCCCAGTTTCTCATGGGAGTCTTCATAGTCATATGAAACCAGTTTCGGTACATAAATTCATCCAGGTAACTGTAAATCATGGGATTTCTCGATCCATTAACCGCTCTTATACGTCATTTTAGGTGACTCCAAAAATTTTCAATGGAACTGGTGTGGGTTCCATCCAAAGAATTCCGGAAACCGTCCGTATGATTAACAACATGATGAATGTACCCATGATTCGATAATTGACGGTATCCGCTCCATTCATCTGTATGAATAGTCGTCCCCGGCAACACTAAACGCTTATTAATAGGCACTAATACTGCTGCACTGCGATTGAGAATCGCTTCTATATACCCTTTGCGCAGTGTCGTGTCGTAGATACCCAGTATCCACTGCTGGTTTGCTTGTAATCTCCCGCGGTTGTATTTCCTTTTTATAAGTACAGTCCCATCAATATGGACTACTCTGCCGACTCCTCCGAGAATTTGAGTCAGGGTGTTCATTTTCTAGGAGGAAACATCTCTGAAGTAGTTGTACCATTGCACTCATGACACCTCTGAATTTTCTGTTTCATAAGCTGTAGCTGTGACTGCTATTTTCAGGACCCAGAAGTTACAGATCATTAAAATTTTCGTCAAAGTTAGTTTAGACCTTGAGAGAAAAGTTCCCAAGGGATCTGTAAACTAAAAAAACAACGACAAACCTCTCGAACCGATTTCCTCCTTATGCACTCAATACATTTGTATACAAACCAGTCAATGGCCTCTGTGTATTTTTGTATATGCATAACTCCTCCGCATTGGCAAATTTTCGACAAAGCTATCAGTCCGTTATCCAAACAGTAATAGAAAACATCCATGATTACTTCCGAAAATGATACAGTCAGCTGATTCCTTGCTAAAGGTCACTTTTTTGTTCGAAGGTCGTTTCGGTTTGGACCGCTATTCGGTCAAGTTCTGCAATAGCGTTCCAAGGAATGCGAACGCGCGAGTGACCTTCAGCCAGCCAATCATAGAAATGAGGAATTTTAGCACGAAAAATGACGTATATTCACGAGAAAATGCATGAAAACATATTAAAAATATTATCTTTCTCTGACATGACTTTAAAAAACGTCCCAGTTATGATGAAGAGTATCAGTTGCTAACTTGGACCAGTTTCTATAGATGTATACATCTATATTCACCGAAGTGACTGAAGATGTGCTGTTTTGTGAATTGTCCATCTCTCTTCTCTTGCTGTGCAGTCCTCTCCGAAGCCCTCGGTTAAATTACTATGATTTCAGTAGGAGGATCGACGACTACATACAAGGGAAATAAAGATAAATCAAATTAAAATAAACGACATTAACCATAAATCTATCCCTAATCGCAACCCTAACCTTAATCCTGACCCTAACCCCAAATTTCACACTAGCCCTAACCTTAATCCTAACCAAAAATGACAATCCTTATCCAGCCGTAAATCTAACCCTAATCCCAATTATGACCCTAATCCTAACCCTAACGAGATGGTAATACATTGTCCAAACAGTGATTAAAAGTGTTATCTGGGTGAAACTTGCTCCTTATTTGATGAATAGGGTTGGTATTTCAGCTATGATAATGACAGGCACTGTTAGCCAACGACTAGCGTGCGTTCAAGGTCATTTGAGCGTTCGCACTCCTGGGACGCTATTGTTGAACTTTCTTTAGAGTCACCATTTTTTGAGCCTTCTCACTAGTCGAAGTTGCCCTTGTGAAGGTCATTTGTTCGTTCGCCAGTTAGTTTCGGTTTGGGCTGCTATTCTTTAGAGTCCCCACGAAATCATTCACAAACTTAACCCAAAACTCACTACTTATTCAGTCATATATTGTAGCATTTCATCATGCACATTTTACTCATTATCACTGTATCATTAACTTGCTCACTGTGTCCCATCCTATGAATGAACCACAACTTCGGTTGTTTGTAACGCACTTTAACTACTGCGCGCTCTCGGTTCCAACATCCAATATGCACTTCCCGCTTCAATATAAGCCAAAATAAGCCTTAGTCGTTAGACGAAGGTTCCAGGTCATACGTAGGCTTCGGCCTGCGTCGTACCGCAACTTCACTATCACAGATACATCGGTAACAATGATATTAATAATAATAGGTGTAGTTAAAGTTGTCAGGCCAGTAGGAGGGGAGAGAATGTAAAGAAGTAAAACGACAAGTTTAATTGTCTACCCGTGAATGGTGTATGCGATTTTAAGGGGATAGACCATTTGGATGAAGTCCTTGTGTCACCGCATGATTGTCCAGCCTTCGATTAAAGGCGGCCACAGACGGTGCCAAAACTACATCTGCTGATAAGGAATTCTATGGACGGCAAACCTGCAGTGAAAAGAAGTGGGAGGGCACCCGGATCTTTGCCCTCTGGTGAGCTACCCTTCTGGGATTTCCATGAGGGAGTCTACACCTACTCAATGGCAGAACACCTTTGTTTGGGTGATTCTGGTCATTCGTTATTTTGTAGGGAATAATTGATTCCTCCCTAAGACGTCGGTAGCTAAGTGTGAACGGGCCTAATTTCTTCAGCCTTTCATCATATGGTTAGTTTCGGAGAACAACCACTCCTTTTGTCGCCCTTCGTTGAACTCTTCCCAACAGGTTGGCGTCTCTTCTAAACAGTGGGGGTGCAGTAATATTATGCACTTCAAGTTGTGGTCTGACAAATGTTTTGTGCAGCCTTAGAAAGAGCTCAGGACTGAGTGAACCCAACTTTCTATGTGTAAAGTGCATGATCGCATATGCCATCGCTACGTCCGTGTAATTTACGCTTGTGTCCATTTTTTCCGTTAGAACTAGACCTAAGTCGCGTTCCGACATTTTGCAGGACAAGCTTTCATTGCACAGGGTATAACTTGCATTCTGCAGTCTTCAGGTGCATAACTTCACCGCTTTACACTTTTCAGGTTGAAAGTCATGCCACTGGCCACCGCCCAGTCTTCCAGAAGGTTTAAATCGTCGTACAGCCTATTTGAGTGCTCCAAACACTTT